AAGCTTCTGCATGGCAAAGGGAACTATAAGCAAAACAAAACGACAACCTATCGAATGGGAGAAAATTTTTGCAAAAGATGAAGCCGACAAAGGCTCGATCTTCAGAATATATAAGCAGCTCATATGACTTAATAAGAAAAAAACAAACAACCCAATCCAAAAATGGACAGGAGACCTAAACAAGCAATTCTCCAAGGAAGAAATACAAATGATCAATAGGCACATGAAAGAATGCTCAGTATCACTAATTATCAGAGCAATGCAAATCATAACTACAACGAGGTATCACCTCACACCAGCCAGAATGGCCATCATTCAAACGTCTACAAATCACAAATGCTGGAGAGACTGTGCAGAAAAGGGAACCCCCGTACACTGCTGGTGGGAATGCAGGTTGGTGCAGCCACTGTGGAAAACAGTATGAAAATTCCTCAAAAGACTAGGAATAGACTTACCATTTGACCCAGGAATCCCACTCCTGGGCATATATCCAGAAGGAACCCTACTTCAAAAAGACACCTGCACCCCAATGTTCATAGCAGCACTATTTACAATAGCTAAGACATGGAGACAGCCTAAATGTCCATCAATGGATGACTGGATAAAGAAGTGGTGGTATATTTATACAATGGAATACTATTCAGCCGTAAAACCCAACAACATAATGCCATTTGCAGTAACATGGATGTCCCTGGAGAATGTCATTCTAAGTGAAGTAAGCCAGAAAGAGAAAGAAAAATGCCGTTTGAGATCGCTCATACGTGGAATCTAAAAAAAAAAAAAAAAAAAAAAAGAGCATAAACACAAAACAGAAACAGACTCATAGATATCTTACAAACTAATGATTGCCAAGGGGACAGGGGGTGGAAAGGGACAGACTGGGAGTTCAAAATTTGTAGATACTTACAGTCTCATGCAGAATAGATAAACAAGATTATACTGTATAGCACAGAGAAATATATACAAGATCTTGTGGTAGCTCACAGTGAAAAAAAAGTGACAATGAATACACGTATGTTCATGTGTAACTGAAAAATTATGCTCTACACTGAAATTTGACACAACATTGTAAAATGACTATAACTAAATAAAAAAATGTAAAAAATTGTAATGGATAATAGTAATAAGGGGTTCTGACTAAATGCAAAGTATCATGTAAAATATTACTTGGTGAATACTTTTGTGCCCGTTTGAGTATGCCACTAGTACTTGTAGTAATTTAATGCCACATTGCTACCCTATTTATAGAATATGTATGTGATAAATACTTAATCTAATTACTAAGTTATGAATTTTGAGGCAATGTGATCCATGGTAAGGAAACTAGGAATGGAATTAAGAAGAATGAGACAGCAAATCATTGACATACATGATGCATATATCATGTGTATCTTTAATCACAGAGACAATGTAAGGTACCTTTTAGAAAGGAAAACAAGGTGCAAATTGAAAATATTTGATGAAGTACAATCACATATTCTTAAGGATTGGCCAGTTCTGATTCTATACTTCAGCAGTCTCATGTGACTGTCAATTTGGTTGTGTTATATTTGACTCATTGACAGCTAATAGCTTTGCAGCTCGCCTGAAGGTACTACATGCAACATGTAAATCATTACTTGGTAGAGTGCCTTGACACCCTTCTTGGAGAATGAATAATATTTGGGAAAATAAACTGTGTTCTATCCTTCAGTTCATGCAGCATCACCATAAGTCTATATTATTACTGTGTTTCAGCCCCTCTGACTGATAAACCACCCAAGCTTTTGTATCCTGTGGAAAGTAAACTCACGATTCAAGAGATCCAGCTGGGTGAGTAAATTCCTTAATTCTGGTTAATACACTTTTCTCATTACATTCCAACACTTAAACCTAGATTGTAACCTGATGTAATACTCTGAGCTAAGCCCATATTTATTTAAATGGGGCAAAATTAGAAAATCTCAGCAAATGCTGCCCATTCCATCTCCCCAAGTATATGCATTAGGACTAAGCAGTACATATGGATGTAAAGACTCGTGTGTTATTTACATGGTTGCTGAGCAATTAGATAGGCTGAAGGTTTTGTTGATGGTATTATTTTGTCATTTTATAAGGCGTGAATTGGTTTTAAAACAGGCAGTATGGAACCATTTGACTTATAATATCCACTAATATGTTAAAATACAATTTTTGAAAATTGGGGGTATGGGTACAGATTCATTAAAATAAATGTCCCCTTAACAGTTAAAATTTGTTTTTATCTAGTCAAATATAATGGACATTGTGCTAGTTAAGCTATAGATTATATATATAGTTACAAAATTTAAGCAAGTGGCTTTTATTTGAAGGACTGAAACATAAGAACATGTATAGAATATGCTTTGGTAAAAATATTTAGTCGTCCACAAATCTGAATTCTAACATACTTATCTTAAAGTCTGGAATTTCTTAGTCCAATTTATCTATATTCAGTTATACTAAATTATGAGAAATCCCCCCTTAATTATAAATGTATACAGTACCCTCGATAATATTATTTATTTTTATTTGAAGTATAGTATGCATGCATGTATATATCATATACTTTAGAAGAAAATTATTTTTTTTTAGTGGCTTGACATAAAGGATTATCAAAAGTTTAAGTTTAACAGTTATTCATGTTAAGGAATTTTTTTCTTTCATTAGTCATTTGAAAGTAGAAATGCATTCATTGTATACAACTGAAAAAGAGTAGATAGCCCAGCTCTTATGTTACCAATGTTATTATTGTTATTGGGGTGAGAATTAATATCAAAATTGTAAGTCTGTCTGCAAAATGAAGATTACAGACCTAACAATCTTTACTAATAGCACATCCAAAGTTATAGTGCAAAAAGATAAGATGATGGTTTTAGAGCCTGTAGAATTATGGTAGTCAACGGATTTCCAACATTGTAAGTATTTACTAACTTGGAGGCCTGAAAGAATGCAATTTTATACAAGTCAGTGTACCAATATGTTTCTTTAATGGTAAATCCAGGTCTTTGGATCAATTCCATGTACATACAAATGGTATTATAATTGTCATTATTTTGAGATGGAAGACTACAAGCAGATTTAGAGCAATGCTGCATACAAAACAAACGTATTAAAATTGTATCATGCTCTTTACTCATGCTATGGTATATTGAGGTATATTAGATTGTATTGCTACTTTGAAAAGAAATTTTGGAATATAAATTTTCATAAGTGGCCATGCTCATACAGACCTTTCAATAGCTCCTATGAAGATATATTTCTAAGGAGTTATACAGAACTATAAATATCTTGCACCAAGAAGGAGTGGTTTATTGTACCAGTTATCTACAATAACCATAGCAAAAGTGATGCTAACTGTATGTATCTCTTTACTTACACCGTAATTAAAATAATTTTATGATGGATGGTTACCCACTGGGTTTCCTTCTGTTGTCCCTGAATTTGGAATAAATCAGATTGTTCTCTACCTTCTACTAAAATGTCTTACAAAATGTAATAAGTAATTTGTAAAGCTTTCTTTGTCAAGTTACTTTTTCTTGAACAAAAGTTATAAAGACTGACCAAATCAAATTGAAAATATGAAAATTACTTATGCAAATTAGAAGATTTGGCTGTATATTCATTTGATGAAAGATGAGCTTGTGTTATCGAAATGCCCCCAGGACATATTCTGATTAACTCCTTTATTATCACTGCCTAAAGGAACATGAGCTCTCTTTAAACACCAAGTAAACTGTGGACGTCAACCTGGGATTTGGATTCTTTTAAACAACTTTTGTTTTATTTTCTGATTCTAGTTCTCAGTGTGATAAAGCATTTACTAGTTTGAGGAATTTAACCCTAATCCATGAATTTTTGAGCAACAGTTGACTTGAAAAACTATCTTGTTAGTGTTGTCACTTTAATAGTATTTGAGTAGGAGAGTAGCTGATCACAAAGGATAAGTGAAAATAGGAAATAATATTAAGGGCCACAAAAGGGAAAGACTCAAGATGCCTAAATATGTTTGTTTTTTACAATGTGTGCTTTGACTTTCTTACTTCCTTTGGGATTTAATTTTTGCCATTTCCAGATTTTAAAAAGCTATTAATTTCAAGAGGCTCAAGAAGTGATATCAAATCCCAAGTAAGGGGACTGAGTGAAGAGTCATAGGGTGGGAGTAAAGAGGGTGGCCAGGACCAGTGGATGGGGAAGGTGTAAGTGCTGCCTACTCTCAAGAGAAGGTGAAAATGTCCAACAAAGTTTCACTGGACAAGAGCTCAGGGGTCTGACTAAACCTTGTCCTAAATTGAGGGTTAACCTCAGAGGTTAATAAAATTAGTATATGAATTAAATTATAAAAACAATCACCAGAAATTATACAAAGCTGAGTTAATACATGTCTGGTGACCTAACATGAACATCTTGGCTTAGTTAAATACACATCCATCCACCTGACCTTAGTAACTGTAAATCCATCAGATCTCTAGTTTGTGTGCAAATATATGAAGCACATTAATAATGACTTAGATAAAATCATGAAATGTATGAATTTCTCTTCGTCTCCAAATTTTCCTTTCTCTGCCTTTTGCTGGCCATGTCTACCTTTCTCTTTACACATCCCTTGTGTCTTCCTTTCTTGCAAATTCTTCATCTTCTCAAAACTGGAAAGATTCTGATAGTGATCATTTTAACTGTTTCAGTATAGAAAGCAAAAGACATCAAAAACCAAAGTACTTAGGAAAAAGTATAAGAGTAAGTGAATTCACATAAAATATATGAATTGGTGGGTTTGAATTTCAGTCAATATGAGGTCACAGCCTAGCATTTCCATTTTAAGTGGCATTTGTGTGTTACTTCTAAATGTGAAAAAAAAAAGGAACTTTGTCCCTTTTAAGTAACTTTCAGGCATCAGCAAATATATGGACAGCACTTCCCTGGGCAGAAGGCCCAGAAGTCACACTGTACAATTCTGAAGGGCAGTCCAGGAGGTGAGCCTGACTTAGTCTTTTCAGGTGGTTGTAGTCAAGGGAATCAAAGGACAGACACCATTGTCTTGCTGAGCTTGAGCCTCAAGGATGTCAATCAGAGATGTGGCCAGGAGCCCATTTTCAGAACCTTCCAGAACAGAGGATGTTATATTAATCATAACCAGACTTTCAAAAGTAGAAATTGATTCCACTCTTGACCCAGTGAGACACTTACACTTTACAACTTAGAATTTACTGAAAAGTATCATTAATTACTTGCCTACATATGGATATCACTTTATTTTGCTTTTTGCTTTAAACGTAAATTTACAGGTTAATTACAGGTAGAAATTTGGAAATACAGAAAAGAATCTTGTTTCTTATACTTCACATTGTAGAAACATTCTTCTTCTGTTGAATATTCTCAAAATACCCTTTTAATGGCTGCATGATATCCATGTGAATATTCTATGCTTTTATATTTATTGGTATAAATTCAGATTTTTCCAAAATTCATTTTTTTCTTGCTACATAGTTTCAGAATTCTTATGAGAGAAGTTGTACAGACTCTCACCAGAAGTATGTAATGAGTTTAATAACTTAATTTTTTATAAAATGAATTACATATCTTTGTAACATAGAACTCCTGTAGGAAAAGTTACTTTCCTTTGATATCAGAATCATTTCTTCCTTCCAACTCTGAGCTCTCTCTCTCCACTCACTGAGTGTGAGTGTGGCCTCTCTTTGTTCAGGATTATCCACATTTGGAGGATTTCAAATAAATGTAGTCTATACAGTTGAAGAAATACAGAAACTTGATCAAATGTCTACAGTCTCTATCCATTTTTTCTCTTGCTTATCCTAATGCTCAACTGACAACTTCCTTTAGATTTTGTGTTTCTTAATAAAGCACATGGTAATTTTGTGATGTGCTCTGGGCACAGGGAATGTCAATAAATACTAATTGTTGATAAGTGTACATGTCACAAAGGGCACACATCTCCAAATTTTCTGCAAGAAAAAAATATACTTTATTTTTTCTTTACTATCCACTTTCTTTTGTTAAATTTTTTTTAAAAGAAAACACATGTATCTGATTGAGTAACAAGGATTCACCAGATGTTAACATCTCAAGGAAAGCGTTTGATGACATGAAAATTGTATGTTTAATTTACTTTGCTGTAAAATAATTAGTTATGGAAGCATACTTTACTTCAATCTTTTATATGTTCTGAAACTGTGTATTTAAATATATTGTGCATGGAATGTGTTATATTACAAATATGCTAGTTGAGTTTTTAATCCAAGAAAAGTATATGGGGAGTTATTTTATGTAGTGAAAAAATAGTCCTCTAACATTTGCTATCTAGGTCTGTTTTTTCATAGATAGCTGTTTTTTTCTTGAAATGAAACACATCTTTTCTAAATGGTTACTATTTTATCTTACTAAAATTAGGAAGCTTCTTTGTTTCCTTTTTCAGGAAGGAAAATACTTAATATCAATACGCTAGAAACATAACAATTCAGGTGTTGAATTTGATACCTAATGTGAAAGTAGCATACAATACTGTTGATGTTAAAGAATACTTCGTTGCTGAATTACTCTAGTGATGCAAATATGACCTTCCTTCCCAGAGGTAAAGGAGTCAGCATTGACTATTTGGGTTTTTCCATCCACATTACTCTTCTGGTTGTCACCAGCAAATGTGATGCTGTTGACCTTGGTTTTTCTGCTCCATGGGGAATGTAGAAAACATATTTTCACTGACAAACTCATATAAAAAACCATAAAAATTTCCTTTCACTCAAGATAAAAACATTTGTATCCAAAGTCTAAGTTTCAGATGACAAATGATGTACTTG